TTTTTTTATTGATGATCACTTTGTTGGTGCAACTAAATACATAAATAAATTAAAACTATATATAAAAATAAAATTAGTGCCAACCCTAGCAAATTTCTCATTTCGTCCCAATTAACCGCAATTTTCGGGTAAATAGGGATTACACCTATTTTTGCATTTTTTGCTTAAACTGGAATGCTACTTGCATAATTTTAAATTAGACAACAAAGATGCCCCCAAGACTCAATCATTTTGATCCTGATATAGCATTATATACATCAACAACTACCTTAAAATTGCTCATAAAGTTGGAATTTGTCCCTAATCGCCCCATTTTACGGTATTTAAAAAATGATATTAGGTATATTACATCATATATGTATGTATATATATTTATTTTTCTATCTATAATTAAAAAAATATATAATATAAGTGTTGAACACTATACACTATTACTAGAGCAATCAGATTTAAGGGTGAAAAATGAAGAAAACACAATACTACACATCGAAAAAGAAGTTTCACTTCAAGTTGCACGCGCACCGTTTTTTTTCGCTACAATAGTCTAGCAGTGGTATTGAATAATCGCGAAGTAATTACATTTTTCCAATATAAAAAGCTTCATTCCACAAAAAAATAAAGACATGAAATGAAGAAGCTGAAAGACTCAGCTGACTTCACTTCATCTAAAATGGCCACCATTTTGACAACACCTACGAAAGCGCCATTCTGACCACAATTGAGTGTTAAGACTTCGGCCTTATGTTTCGAGGCTTGCGGCATTCGTGTTTTGGAGTAGGTAGGTAGGTACCTGTACCTACTGTAGTAAAAAAACTTAAATTATTAAATTTAAATACACATTTATTTTTGATTGCTTCATTTTTTTAAAGTTTTTATGACCTGGTAACTAAGACCTTTAAGTCATGTCTTATTTTAATTTATAATCTTATTTTTATGAAAAGTGATAATATGGAGTGAAATGAAATGAAATGAAGATGAATAATTTGAGACATTAATCAACTATTATGAAATTAAATTAAATGAGATGAGATGATATGGGATGAAATCTAATCTCAATAAAATGGTGGTCATTTACTGATATTTTTTGTAGCATCCCGAGAAGTTACATCCAGCGACTTTGTTTCATTTTCCCACATTTGTGCACTTTCACAGATATTAAACAGCGCGTTCCCGCCAAAAAGTCCTTTGACTCATTATCTTTTTTTAAAGAGATTTTATGACCTGGTAACTAAGACTTTTAAGTCATTTCTTATTTTAATTTATTATGTTCTTATTTTTATAAAAATGATAATATGGAGTGAAATTAAATGAAACAAAGACAATTAATTTGTGACATTAATCAACTGGGATGAAATTAAATGAGATGCGATGAGATGAAATGGGATGAAATATAATATAATCTCAGTAAAATGGTGGTCATTTACTGAGATTTTTTTCAGTGGACTTTTTGGAGGATCCCGAGAGGCTACGTCCAGTGGCTTTGTTTCATTTTCCCACATTTACAAGGGCAATAATAATAAAAAAAATTGTGCACTTTCACAGATATTAAACAGTTAATAAATCACCGTTATTACACATTGAAACCCGAAGAAACACTAAATTGAAAAAATAAAACAAATCACACAACTTCACTCCTCGCGTTCCCGCCAAAAAGTCTTTTGACTGATTATGGAGTATAGGATCTATCTATCGCCATAAACCTAAGAAATAGATAGATCCTATACTCCATTCCATATATTAAATACTGTATTTACAAGTGCTTCCATTTCACAGAATTTTTATTTAGATACCCATCGATATATTACTCTATTATTATCAATCGATATTATACATCGATTATTATTTCTCTTTATAAGCGTGTTTTTTACATCTTTTTACAGCGCATTTTAGGATCGTTCCACTCGACGGTCGGCGTGACACTGGCGGCAAAACAGTGCTTAATATGAATCTAAGCACTGTTTTGTTTGGTTACTTTTGACGCCTTTACGCGGGATCTAGTGGGAATATATCGATGTAGATACCAAATAAAAATTATGTAAAAGCACTTTTTGCCTAAATTATATTAGCTACTTAAAAAATGTGAAACGTTCTCCAAAACCTTTGATTGTGTCTTTCAACTGTAATAAAGAATCTAACCTAGAATTAAATCAGAACCCATTGAATACAAAAGAAAAATGTGGAAAGATTAAATTACATTTGATTAGTTTAAAATTTAATTCATAAGAGACTTCATATGACCTCTTTCATTTTACAAATAGTGTTATGATTTTTATTGTAAGCTTTTCGTCTACAAATTAATTCCCAGACAAATCTTTTTTGCAGATACTGCGAATTCTTTATGGTTTTGATTAATTACAAAGTGTAACTCCGGACAAGGTCCTTGTGTACACAAGTTATTAAGCTTTGTGTTGGACGGTTAAATATAAGGGTATTGGATTCTGGAGGTGATGGGCTATGTAAAAACTAAGATGTTGCACTGTCTAGATGAGAAGTTATTGTCTTCACTGAGGAGAAGACAATCATCTGTTTTAAACATTTAAATAAGCATTCCAATATTCGAAAACTGTAACCTTACATGTGTCAAGTGTTGCCTGCCATTACTTACATATTCAAACTCCAACACTTTGTGGTGACATTGTTAAAACTTAATACACGACTATTAAAACATAGTCAATCATATTTTATACCAATTGAATTGACAATGCATATATCATATTCCGTATACCTACAAAATATAAAAACCCGCCAATCATTTGGAAAATTCGTTTTTGAAATAAACATAATTTTTGAAGAAGACTTTGTTTGATTTATTCACTTTTTTATTTCTTTAGGTATTGCAGAACTATCTTTTGTCGTCACTGTTGTGGGCAGTTCAAGCCTTTAATTATGTAGTTCTGTAAAAGATTTTCGACAAGGCTGGCAGCACTGACTGGCCCGTACCGAACCACCCTAAACGGTGAGGTAGGCTCTTTTCTGTTTTCAGAAAGTTTATTGAAAAACTTGCGCGTATTTAGTGGTTGTTTATTTCAGTGTACACAAGTTTAATGCCTAAATTGTATTAAGGTAAGCAACTTTATGAACACATGAAATTATGCACAACTCATATTTTTTGATTATCGGCAATGATTTTTCACAAAAGGTTAATCTTCTAAATTCTTCATTATGTACTGTTGTAAAATGTTATTTACACTACTAGTGTAGTCAAAAAATATTAGTTATAAGCGTTTTGCTAGTAGAGTACATAGAATTTCGATTTCAGTATTTGATGATTTCCTTATTGGTGATCACAGGAATCGCCATGCGTGCCGTCACAAAAGTTGGCGACGTTATGCATATACCTCTTTATAAAAACAATATATTTAGCACCACTTTTGATCCATTAACAATTTTTTTTTTCCATATCTTAAAGTTAATTTTAAACCGACGATAAGAACAATGTAGATTAATTCTCGAAAACAACACACCCAAATCACAACCCAACCCTCAGAATTATTTATTTTGCTCAATAATGTAAATGTTTTAACACAATGGAAATTTAAAGTATATTAACAAAGTACATAGTAATTAATGATAAGCTGTTTGAGTAAAGCAGTATTTATTTTGTCAGTAATAATAAGTGAGATTGGAACAATTGTTGTGCAAAACAAAAACAAATGTAATAAGCGTCTTTATCAATATTATAATATGACATATTTATTAATAATCTATAGGCAGGCAACCAGATTTATGAAACTAAGTTGCTACTGCACAGACTGAATAGTATTCATTAAACAAACAGAATATATGTGAGATGTATTTTGTACAGCCCAATTGTTGGCTAGTGGTCACAATTGCCTGCAGACATCAATACCTGGGGCACAGTCAAGCTTTTGCTTACCGCACTTGAGACTTTTTGAAGGTTGTTTGAAGAAGGACATGTCATAGTATGCAAGGAACAATATGGAAGGATGGTAGAAGTTAGAGAAGTAGAGTGATGGAAAAAATAGTGGATGGCATGATCTAAAAAATTCTTAAAATGTGCATTAAATTTTCTTATGTTCTTGTTATTTTCATTTATTTGCTAATTTTGGATAGTTGTTATTTATGAATGAATTTCTTTTTTTCTTTCAAATTACTTTATCAATACATTACAGAATAGTATCCTCTGAACTAGGATTATTTCTAACCAGGCACTTTAATACTGTAATTAATGTTAAGTGACAATGGCATTGTTACTGTCTTATCTTCATTATAATCCATCATAATTGTCCCAAAACTACTGAGAAAGCGTTGGTTTTTCTCTCAAGCTAATTAATAATCTCTACAGTTTGAAATTTTTTAGTTTAATGCATAACTTACTTCAATACGAATTGTCAAGATGTAAATAAAGAAGTGAACATAAAAATTTTAATTAGATAAGTCATCTAATAATGAGAATTAAGTACATTGCCTGAAAAATATTTTTATTTGTTTAATTTGTGAAACAGTACAATATTAGTAATTTTATTAGAATAGATGAGTAATGAGCAATTACAAAACTGAGCTCCAACATAAATAAATTTCTTAGTATCATTCAATCTTTGTATAATACATTTAAATAACAAAGCCTGATGTAAGTTAGTATGTTATTATTACAAATATATAACAGATGTCTTTTTAGAAAAATTAAAATCCAGTTTATATATTATGTTTATTTGCGTGTGTGTATGTTTATTTGCATTTTGGTGTTATGACAAGGATAATTATTTTATTTGCAGAATTATTTGGAACAGGGCTGTCCAAAGTACATACATTTACGTGCTAATTAAATTTACTACAAAAGCTGGAGGGCCGCAGAAAATAGTATTTTCAATACAGAGTGATAAGCACTTTCTGGGAATTCCCCCAATAATATTAAAATATAGTTTCACTTTTAAATGATGTCCTCCTGGGCTTGGAATGTTAAAAGAATAAAGATAAATGATACCAAATTTTGATTATATGTTATGACAAAGAATTCTATTATACAAACTATTTTCTGATTAAAACATCACAATCAGCATAAAAACAAGCCTTTGTTTGGACGGCCTTGATCTGGAAGGATAAAAGCATTCTAAGGATGACTTTGTTGCACAATTGCATGTATGACTTGATTTTTCAAAAGCTCATCCTTTCTTCGACTGCCCCAATATTGTATCCCGTCTTTATGATATCCTTCCAAATGACATTCCCTGGCCTATTCATATTAATTGTTTATTAACTTTAGTCTATTCTAAACATGTAAATATTGTGTGTAAATTTTTATCTGCTAATAATATTTATGTCTAAAGTAGTTAGTCTAACATATATTTGTTTGTGCTGCTCTTAAAACCACAGATTCGCGTATGGAAAAACTGACCAAATTTATTTGTATTTAGATTTAGTATTTTTTTTCCTCTCTAAGCACCTGTCATTTTTGTAAATACTTTGAAATTGGCAAAATCAATGTCAAAGGCCTCGGAGCCAAATTCTTAAAAAAAAAGAATGGATGAGCACTCATTTGATTGTGTCTTCAGGGCAGCGTATAGCAGAAGGCTGTATCGCTCAGTGTCAACAACAGCGATGGTCATGGAGGCGTCCCCATCTCCGCAGAGCGTCGGCCGCGAATTCGTCCGCCAGTACTACACGCTCCTGAACAAGGCGCCCGCCCATCTCCATAGGTAATCTATACTAATATTATAAAGCTGAAGAGTTTGTTTGTTTGAACGCGCTAATCTCAGGAACTACTGGTGCGATTTGAAAAATTCTTTCAGTGTTAGATAGCCCATTTATTGAGGAAGAACATCACGCTAAGATAAGAGCAACAATAAAGAATGTTTCAAAATCGTTTTTTTTCCCTTTTGAGAGCTTCCGCTGCGTGCGCTGCAGAAACGGTTAAAGTTTCGCTAAAATAATGTATGACAGAATTGTTCCCCTTTAAAATCTCTAAAAAAAAGTCCGCGAAAGCATATGTCTATATGTTAAGGTTGGCTGACTATAACGTTTTTTATGCTAACCAAATTTGTTCTAAAATAAATGTGAACTATTCCACGCGGACGAAGTCGCGGGCAAAAGCTAGTCCTTTGATATTCTATTTGTCCTTCCTTCCATTAAATGGTACTTGTGCACCATAGCTATTAAGCACGGTCGCGGGATTTTGACCACTTACATCCTTCGCTTATGTTTTTAAGTTTCTGAGGCTCGCATGGTACACACGGTGAAGTGTATTCTCCACTAGTGCACACAGCTTGCAGTTAATTATTTATGTTTTAACATTGGTAATGTCATAGACTACAATTGGGTTTATGCTGCTTTCTTGTGTCTCGTATAAGCATTAACCAATAAAATAAACCATATCTTTTGCACAGCTATTTAGGGTCGATGTGATTAAGAGACGCCTTTTCTTGCCCTCTTGTACTTATCACAGCTTGGTAGCAAATCTTTTTTACATCGCTTATTTTTTTTCCCTATCTTTTTATTTATTTATTTTTTATTGCTTAGATGGGTGGGCGAGCTCACAGCCCACCTGGTGTTAAGTGGTTACTGGAGCCCATGGACATCTACAACGTACATGCGCCACCCATCTTGAGATATAAGTTCTAAGATCTCAGTATAGTTACAACGGCTGCCCCACCCTTCAAACCGAAACGCATTACTGCTCCACGGCAGAAATAGGCAGGGTGGTAGTACCTACACGTGCGGACCCACAAGAGGTCCTACCACTAGTAAATCTGATTTGTTCACGCTATAATGACTGCACGGATTTGGAAGCTGTTTTCAATTCGGCTTAAAGGGTGTAGGAAGCCGTTGTAACTATACTTGAGACCTTAGAAATTATATCTCAAGGTGGGTGGCGCATTTACGTTTTAGATGTCTATGGGCTCCAGTAACCACTTAATACCAGGTGGGTGTGAGTTCGTTCACCTATCTAAGCAATAAAAAAAAACAAAAAAAGACGTTTTAAATACGATATACATTTAAATTTTATATATACATATAAATATATGTATATATAAAATTTAAATAATATTATTTATATATTATTTAATATTATTAATAATTATTATTAATAATTAATATTATTAATAATTATTATAATTAATATTATTAATAAATTAATAATATTAATTTAAATAATAATATATATGTATATATACATATATACATATATATTATTATTTATATATACATATAAATAATAACAATACGATAAATATGATTTTAGTACCTGTATTTAGATAGCAATTAAGTTGTTAATCAGTAAAAGTATCAAATAAATAAAACACTTTCTGTCTCAACAGTCTCCATGTGAGTCATGCTCGTTTATCGATAAGCAATTTCGTCTTCATTTATTATTGTTTGAACGTGCTGTAGGCGACGTGATCTTACACTGTCCTATCCGTTATCAGTTGTTTGACGTCAGCGACGATTTTAAGTACGAACCTAGTAACCAAAATAAATAAACAGCTCACAATAAGATGGATGAAAGACTAGTTAATGAGCCATCCGATATGAAGTAGAAAACGAACAAAACAACGTGAATTTCGCTAGCCCCTTGAGACAACACAATGAGGTCATAACTCCCCTATAGTTAATATTTTTACTTATGCAGACAGAAGAGATCTGCCTAAACCAATCTCAAATAATATTGGGACCGGGATTTGATGGAACAAAAGAGGTGTACTTGTACACATGGCCATCAATACCAACACAATCTTATAGATTTAAACGAGCAATTCTTGTATATATATAATCTGTATCTCGGAAACGGCTCCAACGATTTTCATAAAATTTAGTATACAGGGGATTTCGGGGGCGATAAATCGATCTAGCTACGATTTATTTTCAGAAAAGTTGTTTTATTCGTGTTTACAATAATCAACTCTTCCTGACATCTATTGGCCAATAATAATACTATTTTTCTTAATTGAGGGCAACTAACCGCTTTAAAGACACAACAAGATGGCGTTATCAAAAAAGAATCGGTCATCATCTAGTGTAAATAAAAATGCAGACTAAAGCATTCCCGGATGCATTGTCTTTAAATAAAACAATTTATTATTGAAAACGTAACAGAGCAGATTTGGCTTTAGTAGTAGAAACACATATCGAGCGGTGAAAGGTTATTTGGCTTAAGCTACATTTTTGCAACTTTACAGGAGAGCAATTTAAAAGTTTAAAATTTGGAAAAAATATCATAACATAAACACTCCTTCACTTCAGCTATTTAAATGGGGTAAACATAATTGAAGTTCAATTAAAACACATCGAATTATTGATACCAAATAAAACGGACCTTTAATTACAAAGATAAAAGTCTCGTGTTAATCGCAATATCGCTTAAAGCCAATAACCTTTTATCCCACGATATAATGTGTACAATTTCTTTTATATTTGTATTTCAAATAAACTCAGGGTCAGTCACAGTTTTCTTTATTAAAAATACCTTCCGGACCCCTTAACAGTACTTCGGCTTAAGTTGTTCACGACATTATCCAATTAATTTTTTCCTACCGATTCACTGGACGGGTTGGTGAGCTCACGGACTCAAACTGAGAGAATTTGCTATATCCAAACAGATTTTATTGGAAATAGCTGTAGATGTATGTCCTCTCGCATTTCAGTCCAGACATTGTTCTAAATAATTCAACTTTAAAGTACTCAATGTGGCGTGATCGGTAAAATAGCGAGCGCTATGACATGACCTTCTTCAAATGAGGCTTGTGGAGAGTATTAAACGGTAGGCAGCGGCTTGGCTGTGCCCTGGCATTGCTGACGTCCATGAGTGACGGTGACCACTACCATCAGGTGGACCGTATGCTCGTCTGCCTGTTCGGGCAATAAAAAATAGCTGGAAAAATAATGTATAACGGGAATTGGGCAATTTTCAAATACTAGTGTTCCCGCCGTAGTCGAAATTCGACTATACTTAATTAAAATTATAAGTTTGGACATTATTATGGTTCTATATTCAAAAACTATTATATTTCTATAGTGACAGATTTCGCCAAGACTACACTATAGACAAATACTCGTAATATTAAAGATAAAGAATATTAACCTATTCTCAATTTGACTACAGACTTTAAGCAATAACAAAAGTTTAACAATAAACAAAGACTATATGTATACATATATGTGTGTATGTGCCAAATAGATGATAGTATGTGTAATGTTTTATTTATTGATTTAACGTATTTTTAGGGCATAATTAAAAAATTTTTTTAGCATTCTGCACTTCTTCTCTATATTCTCTATAAGTGTGGGAAATTTCATACTCCTCCATCCGCGCAATTTTCGTAAAAAGGGGTACAAAATTTTTGCTTCGCGTATTAATATATAGATTTTGTTAGTTATAAATGAGTCGTCTATTATCAAAGGTGGCAATCTGTGCATTTGGACAAAACATTTTTATTGATATGTCAATACAGATTTATTTGAATATAATCGTCTCCTTCAAAGAATACGGTTCAAAACCTGCATTAAATAAAGGTTAATAGTTAACCTGTTATTTATCTAAGATGTCGTTCCGAAGAGTTTTGTGACTGCCAATGGAATACAAAGTTAATAATTCGTTTTTCTGATTTACCAATCATTGTCCAAAAGTCAGATTGCCGCCTTTGATAATAGTCGACTCAAATAGTCTAAATAAATAGTCTTATAAATTTTATAACGAATTCCGTAAAATTCATACACGGGTTTATAAATCATAAGTGATCTAGCTACTGTTAGCTTAATGACGAGACGTCACGAGAAATTACGTTATTGACTGAGTGTGGGTCACCTGGCCGCCTATCCTTTGTATTCTTGTTTTTTATTCACACAAATCTGTTTTTTAGTTAGCAAACACCAAAATGATTTAAGTGGGTAGTTAAGTTAAGTGGGAACTAGAATTCAACATTGGAAAAATAAGGTCGAATCACGAATTTTATTGAGGTTGTTTTTACGTAAACTGTATTTTTTAGGTAAATTATTTAAATTAATCATGTATTGACTCGATCTCTTATATATCTATAATCTATACATATAAATAAAATTAGTGTCTGTTTGTAATATTGAAATAACCGCTTTTTACTACATCCATATGAATTTATTTTTTTATTGCTTAGATGGGTGGACGAGCTCACAGCGGTATGTATATACGGTACATACACCAAAGTAACATTTTTTTAAATTTTTGTCTGTTTGTTTTGTTTGTTCCGGCTAATCTTTGGAACGGCTGGACCGATTTTGATGAGACTTTCACTAATAAGTAGCTAATGATATAAGGAGTAACTTAGGCTACTTTTTTTAGACTAGCTTCGCCTCGCAGTTATTGTTGTACCGCGCGCAACATGGCGGGACTCGCCTATCAATAATAAAATTTAATGTTTCCGAAGCGAAGCGATAGCGGGTCGCTAGTGTATAATAAATTAGAAATCATAACACAATGTAATATTCGGACCATGGGTATCCAAAAAATTAGGCCAGTAAATGCTGAAATTATAGCAATTTTTGAAATCTGTTGCTAACTGGACCGCAGCCAATAGGACCTTGTTTAAAATTCAACTTTTTCGTTTTTCTACCTAAGCTGACCTTGAGAGGCCATTTCAGCGTAGCCCTAACAAGTAGGTGAGCTCACGTAGCTCAAACCTGACGACGTTGCTAACAATAACCCTAGCAAGAGTAGCGCTTCGCAGAATCTACCACCGGATCGGAAACGCGATCCACTGAGAAGATCCGGCCACGGTCCGGGTTCTACGAGGACGATGACCGGAATTCAATAGTAAATCATCAATAATACGTGAAAGCCTATCTAACGATAACAAAAACAAAAATCGATACAATGACTTGTTGGCCACTGATTGTATGCTAATGGTATTATGTCAGAAATGCTCCCTGAAATATCAACAAAAAATTCCTTTTTTTTTTTTATTTATCGAACAAAGGACGCTCGAAAGCACAGAACTCAAACAACCACAATACGATACAATATGAATTATAAATAAATGAGAAAATAAAAATGTTGATATGTCGTTTTTCTTCAGATTCTATAACAATTACTCGTCGTTCATCCACGGCGGTCTCGACGCCCCCAACCGCGAGACGCTTCCCGTGGTCGGACAGAAGCAGATCCACAATCGCATTCAGCAGCTCAACTTCCGCGACTGCCATGCCAAGATCAGTCAGGTAATGAAGCATACAGATGGTGTTTTTCGATTTGATTGAAGCTAAAGTCGTTAAAAAAGTTGAAGCTAACTAATCTTTCAAAAAAAGGTGATATGTTGCAAATTCAGCCCGCAAAATTACATTTTGCGTAATTACTGGTGGTAAGACGTCTTGTGAGTCCGCACGGGTAGGTACCACCGCCCTGCCTATTTCAGCCGTGAAGCAGTAATGCGTTTCGATTTGAAGGGTGGGGCAGCCGTTGTACTGTTAAAAGTAAGACCATTTACGTTCTAGATGTCTGGGCTCCGGTAACCACTTAAAAACAGGTGAGCCGTGAGCTCGTCCAGCTATCTAACCAATAAAAAAATTGGCAATATGTGGGAAAGTCCAACAACTTTGCCTTAGTCACATAAATTGTTTTGAAATTTCTTAGTTAGTAATCTATTTATAGTGTTTTGGCACAAACCACGTAACGAAAGTGGCGATCAGGACACACTAGAGTCAATTCGCAATTTTTCTTGAAAGGTGGACGCTCAAGCGACCCTCGGCAACGGCGTCGTGGTCCAAGTGACGGGCGAGCTGTCCAACGGCGGGGCTCCGATGCGCCGCTTCACGCAGACCTTCGTACTGGCCGCGCAGTCTCCGAAGAAGTATTACGTTCACAACGACATCTTCCGTTATCAGGTAACTCTTCACACTTAGAAGCTCTTACCAAACTTCTTATGGTTTTTGTATGATTGTATTCAAGCATATTATGAGCCCGTTCGATTTGGTGCAACTGTGCTATTTATTCCTATTGGTTTGAACCGCGCTGTGTGGTCTAGGAGTTCCAGTAAACACTTGATATTAAATGGATTATTCGTTCGGCCACAATCCAGTAAAAGTAAGTGTAGGTATATGACAAAGGGAAGATCTTTCACCGAGCGGATGATATTTGCTCGGTAGAGCGACGGTCCCAATGTTGTTGTTCGGATATATGCAATAACTTGTATATATGTAAGCTTGTCTTGAAAACGTCGTAAGCGAGATTCAGGCATCTGTCAAATATCTTGCGTTGTATGATGGCTACCCGCCACAGTAAGAACATTTCTAGGGGATCCATTGCTGAATAGCAACATATTAACCCCAGACTTTTATAAACCGGCTTTCAAAATGAAAGTCTTTATCAGTCAAAATTTTTTAATCTTAATTCCGAATGCAGTTTCAAATCTGATAGGAATATGCAGGAAACTCATAATTTATTCATATTTTTTTCATTTAATCATAATTTAAATAATAGAAATAACAGAAAGCTCTAGAGTGTTTTTCTTCATTTCAGGATTTTAATCTAAATATACTTTGAATTAGCACTATAGCACTATGATTATTTTTCAATGCCACTGAACTTGTTGTCGCAGGGGTTTGATTCTCACGATCTAACCAGTTAAAACATTCATAAAATGAATGAATTCCAGGACATAGTGTTTTCGGACGAAGAAGGCGAAGGATCTGGTCGCTCTGAAGGCGAAGAGGAGGAGAGCGCCGCCAACGCGGGGGCCTATTTCCCTCCCCCGCCCAACGCGTTCCCGTCTGCGCCCTTCCCGCAGCCGCCGCACGCCCCCCTCGTGTCTCCCCCGCCGCCCGCGCCCGCCCCCCCGGCGCCGCAGCAGCCCGCGCACCACCTCAACGGACACCCGCAGCAGCACGACGACGTCTCCCGGCACCTCGTTGCCGCTCTACAAGGTAACATAGCTTTCGACGTACGGAAACACACCATTTGAACAATATCTATAATGTGTACAATATTAAAATGTAAAGTAAACAACGTAGAAGATACAAATTAAAACTAAAATTACGTTCTTACATTCTAATTGAATCGAAGCGCGCAAATCTCGTAGCGTGACGTCACGGGACGCCTGCGCGTTCGGGAACTCCGATCGCACCCGATGACGCTCGAGTGCGACCGAGTGTTGCACGCTACATAATTAAAGATTAACTAACATATTTTTTAAGTCTTGCTAATTTAATCGTCATCACCATCTTGTCTTACTCTGTCATTCTCATTTCTTTTTCTTACCGTATTCTCTCACTCACATGTTAACGCTCCGTGCCACACTCATTTTCATATGTTTCGTTCTTACCAATCCTACAATAATATTATAAAAAACAAAATTATGATCACGGTCTGAAAATTTTCACCTGTTCTTATGCATCAGCTGCATTGCTGAGACATATAAATGGCTCATCTCCGGTCTCGTGCTAACTTAAAGTAGACAACAGCTCAGTCAATCTTTAAATTTAAAATAAAATACGTCACAGCGTGCCTCGTTGGGTAAGACGTGTTGTGTCGACTGTGTGTTGCTCGAGCTTCTCGTGCTGCACACCTGAGGCATGTCCCGTTGGTTCCAGCCACGACCGCGCCCAGCGAGCCGGAGCCCGAGCGGAGCGCCACGCCGCCCCCCGCCCCCGCGCCGCTCGACGCCGCGCCCGAGCCGGAGCCCGAGCGCGAACCCACTCCACCGCCACAACCAGGTGCGTATACTGTACTTGAAGTGGTACCAATGTTAAACAACCGAACAGGAGCGCTTAACAAAAAAATATGTATACAACATGTAACATAATTAACGCACACCCTGAAAGTAATTTGTTCAGAATCGGAATCTGGATCGATTTTGATTTTTTTTATGTACCATTTTTTTTTTCTAAAATTTAGTTAAAACTAAGTAAATTACTGTCACCCTGCACAGCTAGCTAAACAGTTCATAGAAACGAAAATGGAACGTAAGTCAGGGTATTAAGACTTTTTAAAATGAAATATCTAATTAGTAAAAAAAAATATTATTTAATTAAAGAAATCTGATACTTATTTCAAGGCTAATAGTCTATTACAAAATAAAATACCTACGCACACAACACCAACAGCGACCGCCGGCACACAGCAACACTACAATACATAAAAGAAAACCACGTAATACATAAATAATTACTATCCCTTTCTTTCGTCGGCTTAATATTCTTACAATAAACGGCAGGCTAATCCCGATGTTCGCGGCGACGGGGTTGCGTCGGCGGTGATCAAAGAAAAATCTAAACAACGAAGTCAACAAAATATTTTTGACAAGTCAGTCACGCCGCGTCCACCTTATCGATAAGAGGTCAAGTGATAGTGCAAATAAAATATCTCCCGTATTTTGCTATGTCTTTTCGATCAGTGGCCTCCTAGATCAGCTGATTTGACGCCTCTCGACTTTTTTTTGTGGGGGCGAATTAAATCGCTAGTTTATAACACACAGACAATAAGTGCCGAAGAACTAAAGAATAAGATAATAACCGCCTTTGATAAAGTGAAAAGTGACATTGCAGTATTATCTAAAATAAAACAACAAATAAGAAAACGGTCATTAAAGTGCATTGAACAAGGGGCGCGGCGAGTAGGTACATGTGTCTGTGTGTGCGTGCGCAGCGGAGTGTGAATCGGTGACCATTTTATTTCCACGAAATGGGAATAACTAATTTCACAAATAATCAGTGTTAACGCACATATAAATAATATTTGGTGTATGCATAGCGTTTATACTATTAAAGTCTAATTGGGGTGTTTGAGGGTGTGCGTTAAATATGTTACATGTTGTATATGTGAATTGAATGCGATAACTTATCGCGTCAACAGAAGTTTGACATCCGTAGTAACAAATAATTATTTACTGTTAGCAACTGTCCCTCCGGAACCGAAGACCTACGCGAACCTCCTGAAGTCGGGGTCGAGTCAGGCTCAGCGCGCCATGCCGGCGGTGGTGCCGAGCAGCGCGCCGCCCCGCGCCCCCCGGCCCGCGCCGCCCCCCGGCCTGCCCCCCGCCCCGGAGGCGGCGCGGCGCTACTCGGACGCGCAGCAGCTGTTCCTGGGCAACCTGCCGCCCGGCGCCAGCGAGGACGAGCTGCGAGCGCTATTCGCACAGTTCGGTCCCGTCGCCGAGCTGCGCGTGCACGCCAAGAGCGCGCCGCCCGGCCAGCCGCGCCTGCCCAACTACGGCTTCATCACGTACGAGAGCTCGCAGGCCGCCAGCGAGTGCCTGAGCGCGGCGCCGCTCTACTTCCCGCCGGACAGCGCCGACGCCGTCAAGCTCAACGTGGAGGAGAAGAAGGCGCGCGGCCGCGAGCCCCCGCCCCGCGCGCGCCGCCCGCCCTCCTCGGCCCGCGCCCCCCGCCCCGCCTACCGGCGCTAGGCCCCGCCAGCCCCCGCCACCCGCTGCGGACGCGCCCGGTGTACACTCCTGTATGTTACTTATATAACTTGCCTCCCTCACTCACATAAACTATTATACATCTGCCGCAGTTCTATTTTAGTTAAAAATCATTACGAAAATTAATTACATTCCTCTCGGTTGAAAGTAATGTTAAAAATTGTATCCCTGTTCACGGTGACGAAGTTCTATGTAATACTCGCCACCAGTAACACGGATCGCATTAAATTCACAAATTTATTCATTTGTAGTTTAAAATTATGAGATAAAAAAGATCTCAGATTGACTATTTTGACTGCAGACCATAGTTAATTGTTTAACTGTACGAGGACCGCTCGCCTCGCCGCGCTGAACTGTTGGACTGAACTGTTCATTAAAGATAGATAAAGGAGTTCAGCTTTTGCATTCCACACGAAATGAATTGTAATCCAGTCACACATACAGTTGGTGCCACAATACAATTTCCTTTCTGCAACAGATGAATTAGCTTTTCGTTAGTACGGCAATCTGACAATGGCATTAGCGTAGTCAATATTAAAAGACTGCCGGCCGGGGAGCCACGCCGCAGTACGTACAGAAGACCAGGTCATTTTCACAAATTGTAATGTCCGCAGCGGTACTTAATTTCTAATACATTTTTATTTTTACATTAACAACGCTTCGCAATTCGCTTAACATGAATATTTCGTTTAAGTAGTTAGATAGTAAATTAATTTCTTATTTTAATAATTAATTAATAGTAACAGAATTCCGGTGGTGTGACCAATTTGCAAAAAAAAAAAAAAAACATTATAGAAGCCGATTAAATTTCTAAACGTTTCTACTGTGGGTACAACGATTTACTGATATGATTTAGTCGTTAACAAAACGTTTTGAAAATGTACACATTTATGATTTACGAAATTTCGTGAACTGGTCACACCAACGACAATTCGCACTTATCAATTTCTAATTTCCAAGCCTAACAAGGACGGTTGGTTGTAATTAAAAAGAAACAAATATAGTTTGTTCATATCACTCTAGTTTGATTCGTAGTTGGGATTTGTGATATCGTTTGTCTGGTAAATCCTCGAGCACCGCGCAGTGCCCGGGGCGCTCCCTGGCGTCCGGGGCTCCGTGGCGAGTGCGACATGAAGTTCGAGAATATTCTTCCAGTGTCCAAACGTGTCGTGGCCAATGTTACCAATTAAACCGTCGATAATATATATAACAAAAAAAATCTATATATGTATTCAAAACAACCCATCGTTCTTAGCGAGAACAATGTTGTAAAGGCTGTACGGTAGCTGAGATGTCGACATTCTTTGTAATTTTTTTGTTGAAATGATAAATTGTTTTCTCGCCCCGAACACAAATACCCTCAAAATACTTGTAACTTTTGTATGTGCATATTTCGTCTATATGTTTGCGATTCGAATAAACTACAAGGGTCAAGATTCAAGTCAGCATGAGCACCGAGATCGTACGTAGTTTGCAGTGCGTCCACAACTAACCATTACTGCCGCATCCCACCGCCGGCCCTAGTGTCGGGGGTGAGGTAGTGTTGTCCAGCCCTCTCGATATTCCAAACCTCATGTCTGACTATCGACGGTTCGCGTTTACCACCAAGCCATGCATAATAATGTGATTTTAAAACAAATATTCGCTCTACCGCGGTTTTAAATCTGATGATAAGTTCATATGTATCTTTTATGTATTTATTCGTTTGCCGTAAATTGACTCTGGATACGCATCTCGATACACGAAACATTTTCAAAAAGGCAGTAAATATTAAAGCAGTAATTTGTATAAGAAGGTTAGATGGGGACATATCATCTGTGAGTTTGATCAGGCGAGAATTCTAAACGTGCATAGTGCTGTCTCGCTCGCACTCACAGTATGTGCGAGCGAGACGCACAGAGCTGTTCACAACTTGCCTTCGAAACTATCGCAGTATGAGGCTGTCAGCGCAAAAGTGGCCTAACCTACAATTTTTCATATTCATGCCTATGTATTATATAAAACATCATAAATTTTTATGCAAAACTGCCCTATACCTAGTTTCAACCACAGATAATAAATGGCTTTTAAACATTATTTTTGCGTGCGAAGCAGTGTAAAAGTAAATTCAAACCTCGTTATCTCCACACTAACTATGGTAAGCTCAAGCCACTTTTGCGCTGACGGCCTCATACATTATGTTAAATAAATTAAAAACGCCCACTAACGATGACACGGTCAAGTGCTTTTATCTATGTATCTCAAATCAAACTTAAATTAGTCTTACAACTACTGTCTAGCGTCATTAGAGTTTATATTTTACATATAAATGATGAGAATTAATGCTATTGTCATTTTAGTTGTTTGATAATAAGCCACAAACAAATTGTCACATAAATGATATTTTCGTGGGACTTATTTGAAAAATCATCATGTTTAGATAATTTCTGTCAAAATTATTCTATCAATTCGATTCTTATTATTCAATTTAAATGTTATAATTTTCATTCTCTTTTATACAATCAAAAGGAACATGGTAATGTTATCTTATTTCAGTTTCATTTATGGAGTTTACGCTTTACAGAGCAATTTATTGAATAGCATTAATCCTCAATATTTACGTATAGTAGGAATAGTAACAACTATTTCAAAGCTTGTAAAATATGTCGATGTTTTAATTTTAACCTTATCGATAAAACTGCTTGCCACATTGAACTTGTGCTGTGCTATTTGAGGACGAAAATTGTAACTAAAATTAATTCCCAAACTGACTGTATACGATGCAAATTAAAAAAATAGATATGTCTTAACGGTATAGCCTTTTTGGATGGAAAGAATTTGCCTGTAACAACAGCAGGTATAGCCTTTTTGGATATTTGCTATGTTTCGGTTATTGGCTGTTTGTTGGACAATGTAAGTGATCGGAAATCTGTGTAATATTTGATTACTATACGAGGTGACTAGCACCGCCATGTGATGCGATAAGTTTCTCAGTAACTGCATTAATTTCTATTTTGTTTATTTTAGACGTTAAGTCATCTGTGGCATTACAGCTTTCACGAAAAGAAGGAAAAAGCGTTATGTTATTTTCGTCCTCATAAAAGCTATAATTTTATCAATTGAATTGGTGTTCTCTTTCTCGCTTAACATTAACTGAACGCTCGTGAGAGAGACAGATAGTTTTCGGTTCGTTATAAACGTTTTTTGTTTGTTTAAAAATAGGGAAGGACTACATTATGTCGATGTTTTTTTTTTTTTTTTATACGATTGTCTTCGCGTCTCTGTAACGTAACGAGTTAGTTTTTAGCGGCTAGTTGTGGCCGATAAGGGACGATAACTTTTCTCGACACATTAAACAGGAATTTAATAAAACTGGGTGATCTCAAAAGCTTATTATTTTTGATGTTTAACTCATCTTCCTTAGTATCTATAGTATTCGTATTAGTCACGTCACCAAAAGGACAATATTGCAAATTGTTTTACTGTAAAGATAGAATTGTTTTTTTTTAAACATCGATTCAGAAATAATTTTTGAAAATCAATAAAAATCCTCTTTCAAAATCGATGAAATGTTTGAAAGTGAGATAAACTGAACGCATTAAAAATTTGAATCTAACAAAGGTGGTCCCGTCTCGCGCCTCTGTAGACATGTGAAAGTACTTGTGTTTGGTATGTAGTTCGTTATTTTTATAACAATAAAATTATCGAACATTCACTGTGTTTTATTTCTAGTTTATGACTGGATACATCAAATGTCTTGACTGATTTAACAGAAAGCATTTCATTGTTCTAGAAGTTCAGATAAGTTTAGGCTACTGGGGCCCATAGACATCACCACGCTAATACTGCCGCACGTGACTGGGAATCTTGTGTATTGTGTAATCATACTCCCATACTTCTGACCGAGACGCATATTTGCATTTTAATTTTCCTTGTACGGACATCGAATTATTGAGTTAAGGAATATTCTTTAAAGATTCTGGTGAATAAAAAAATGATATATTAATCCTTTGAACGCCAATCGTCGATAGATCGATTCTCTATTAAGATCTAAAGTGGGGAGCGCCGTAATACCGACTATTAGCGTAGTTTGATCGTAAATGTTAGGTATCGACCTGTACGGACGTGTCTTATTAGCCTGCGCATTTTTATAATTTTTAATAAGTTCAGAATAAACAAACATTTAAAATTATTTTGCTGTGAACATAACATTAATTTTTGTTTTTTTATAAGTTATAGTTTTTATAAGACTAAAGGGTTTTAAAAAATCCGCTAGGAATTTCTGCAAAATTAGTGTAAATAAGCTCATTACAAAAAAGGTTAAATGACAAAATTTTTGGTAGATTCTGCGTTCATTCTTTGTCTCGGAAAACACATTTTTGTTGTACTATTCAGTTAAAATATGAGACCTAAATGACCTATGACTCTCTTATCAGTAAAGCCGAATTTGATAAAAAAGTGAGGATTGTTTATGACACAATTCCGTTATCTTTCTGTCCTGAATAACTACTCTAACAAAGTTTTATTATAATGCAATTACGTAGAATTTCATTCGATTTACAAAGACTGAAAGATAAGTACATATATGATTTAAAAACACCTTATGATTTTCCACAATAACACAACGATCAGACTCCTGCAGTGTGTGTTGTCTATGGTAGGCAGCGGCTTCGCTCTGCCCCTGGCATTGCTGGCATCCATGAGCGACGGTAACCACTTACCATCAGGTGGGCCGTGTTCTCGTTTGCATACAAAGACAATAAAATAAAACTAATATTAAGAGCAGGCATAGATACCCTAGTAATCGTACTCGAGAAGAATAGAGGGTGTCCAGAAATTAGTAACATGGATTTTTAAAGAACCTCTTTAAACCTACACGAAACCAGCATGAAAAGTAAAACTAGTTCTGTTTATCTAATTATCGTAATAGATGTTCTGGAATTAAGCTGGAACAATACTTAGAGGGCGCTGCTGCCCATTCCAAGACGAATCCTAAGCCACCCATGCGGTTGTATGGATAATCTATACTAATATATGTCTACAGTGGTTTTTACGGATGTTCCGCTATAACTACTGAACCATGCATCCGATTGTTTTGAAATTTGGTATCCAAGTAGAAAATACACGTACTTAATGAATAGGCTAATATGAGTGTTGGACTCCCTACACCAGTTGCGGGGGCGTTAATGATGAGAATCTTTGTGGGGGTGAGAAATAAAAATGTTAATTTTAAATGCCCGGCGAAGCGGACGGACACAGCTAGTTACTTATAAATTTAAGATTCTTATAAAAAGCCAAAAAACACTTATGGTAGCATATCTTGTGATCCCGCACGGGTAGGTACCTACCACCACCCTGCCTATTTCTGCCATGAAGCAGTAATGCGTTTCAGTTTGAAGGGTACGGCAGCCGTTGTACTATAAAACTAAAACCTTAGAACCATAATTATAATAGGTCTATGAAATTTCCGTTTTCAAATATCGGTCATCTGAAACGTGATTTATGTATTAGGAGTGGGTGATATAAATCGTATCTAGATTCAATATCTATATATCGCAGCAATATCGTTGAATCCGATATCGCCCCACACGAAATCTATATATCGATATCGGCCGATACACGATATTGCTCGATGTGATGCGCATCGGCATATCGTACCGATTCGTGAATCGAAATCTATGTATCGATATCAGCCGATACACGATATTGCTCGATGTGATGCGCATCGGCATATCGTACCGATTCGTGTATCGGCAATATTAAGTCCATATGTCTGTAGATTATTCTTAGCGTCGTATCAGCAGGATACAATTTAGGAAAGAAGTTTCAATTTTCGACCCTAACTTGAATGCAGTATAGCCTATTTGCATCGTTGAATTTAATTTCACGCGCTTTGACCTTGAACTAGAATTTTTGGACAAGTGTTTATAAATACTTAAAGGTTTTTTGTGTTTGATTTTTAAAGTACACATTTTTCTATTTTTAGTTGAATCCAAATAATTGAGTTTATTTCTTGTGTTTGTATTAAACTTTTGAAATCTACACTCTTTTGGTATATTTTGTAATTTTAAATTAAGACACAAAATACTAAAAACTGAAAATAATGTAGCCAGTCCTAAGCCTGATAAAAGCATGAAGGAAAGTTTTTTTGCTATTTTTATTTTCATGTTCTTTTTATTACTTTAAAATCATATTATAAATTGATATCAGAAAACCAACCGTATAACGTTGACTTAAATCTATATCTACTACGATATTATATCAGCGTATCGTTTCAAATCTCAAATATCATGAATCGAGAAAATCTACTAGCATCCATCAATATATAGATTCAGAAAATATATAGATTCAATATCCGATATTGATACTCGAAATATAGATACGATTCGATACGCGGCAAAACCGATATTACCCACTCCTATTATGTATGGACTGGCGATTAATTTTAAATTAAAAAGATTTTTTTTTAAAGGTTTAGAATTCACTTTTAAATCATTTGTTCATTGATTATTGTTGTATATTCTCTACATTTTTATCTTTTTCATCAATATGGACACGATAAAAATGCGAATAATGATGGATGTTACTACGAATAATGTCGCGGTAGCAATGCCGCACAAACAGCTCACAACATGAATGACGCACGTTACGGGGTGAACACTATAAACGAACTAGACGTTATTGGTTTGAACGCTCAAAACAATAGTGGTCCATTTGCGTCAAACTGCCTAGGTAAAAGAGTTAGATAAATAAGTGGGTGCATCACGAAATGAACGAACGCCAGCGCGATGAAACAAAGGGCTTTTGAGCCGCTTTGTTATTTGCAATGAAAAAACGGATTCTTTTTGATAATCTTAAGCGGTCATCATGTTGGTTAGACCCTGGTTCAGAACTCAGGCAAGGCCCCAAATTGAAACTTACCCCTAAAAAAAGTCTAGGTCACTGTTTGGTAGATTAGTGCCGTATAATCTATTACAGCTTCTTACTAAATGACTTCAGCATTACTGAGGATGTGTACTGTGAGGAACTGGACACAATGATGGGGAAGGTCGCTAATGTCCGGCCAGCCTTGGTTAATCGCTCGTCCCCGCTGCTCCTAAACGACAACAATCGACCTCAGACGGCACCACAGATGGTCTCTAAGCTACAAGAGCTAGAGTTGGTAGTTTGGCGTCATCCACCGGAGGTACTCAGCAGACCTTGCGCCGAAATACTTCTACTTTTTCCTAAGTTTGGACAGCTAGTCTTCTATCTATATATATATAAAAATGAATTGCTGTTCGTTAGTCTCGCTACTCGAGAACGGCTGGACCGATTTGGCTAATTTTGGTCTTGAATGATTTGTGGAAGTCCAGAGAAGGTTTAAAAGGTAGATAAATATGAAAAAGCTCGGAATCAAATAAAAATAATAATTTTGTTTTTCCTTTGATGTGTCGTCCGTCGGACGGATTCCTTTTGTTTGTTTTAAGTTTACTTTATACAAAAGTTTAGGTCTTTTATTTATCAATTGAGGCACTACGAAGTCTGCCGGGTCAGCTAGTCAGGGATAAAAATCTAATACTCGAGAGGCAGTACAAAATCCCTTTGAAGAGTTTGTTGGCTCCCGGTACGCCTAGTTTCTTCAAGAAGAGCATTGACAAATTACCAATAGGTACGCTGGCAGAGATGCTGCAATACCACGGGTGCATATTTTGATTAATGGAAATAAAAAAATACTTTAACGTTCTCTATACTAAACGAAAATGTTGTAAGTAACGGCATAATATATTAAATCTTCACTACGCAACGGATTTGGAGGCGGATTTTTTTAATAGATAGAGTGATTGAAGAGGAAGGTTTTTATGCATAATAACATCCATTAAATAGTGGAGAAATCAATAATAAATTACAGTTTTCGAAGCGAACCAGGGGCGGGTCGCTAGTATTTGTATAAGGCACGTTTAGTATTCTATGAACTGGAACATACAATTGCACCGCGACAGTAATAGACTGGATGATGACAGATATCTTCTCAACACGAACACCGAGCGATAGATATTAACAGAAGTATCACTTTATTAAGATTTAAAAAAAACAATACAAACGTATAACTTGATTATTTTAATTACAGCAGGGTTATCGCATCTGTTACTCTTTCCAAAATAATCGTGGTATGTACTTATATGTATATAATCATATTTATTTTTATCAAATATAATAATAATATGGTTTGCTACAATTTATTTCAATCCCACGTATTTTTAACCGACTCAAAAAAGGAGATTATCGATTGGACTATATTTTTTTGTGTAATATGCTCGGATTTTTTTTCTAGGTGAACCAATCTTAATTTTTTATTTTTAAACTAGTGCGTTTCACGTTGTTCCAATAAAATTTTATAAATATCTCGTCAGTCGCTTTTGTGTTATCCTCAATAATGCGTTTTTAAATATGCACTTTGACAATAAAAATCATCAATGTAATAAAAATCAAACCTGCAAAATTATAATTTGCGTAATTACTGATGGTAGGACCTCTTGTAAGTCCGCACGGGTAGACACAACCACCCCGTCTATTTCTGCCGTGAAGCAGTAATGCGTTTCGGTTTGAAGGGTGGGATACTAGCCGTTGTAACTATACTAAGACCTTAGAACTTATATCTCAAGGTGGGTGGCGTACTTACGTTGTAGATGTCTATGGCCTCCAGTAACAAGTGGGTTGTGAGCTCGTCCACCCAAGCAATAAAAAATAAAAAAGATGATATTCTCATTTGATTTTGTTGAAGTCGGTTTTCTTTATTAAGTTTTGTATTATTTTTAATTACACGACTTTTAATAATTGTTTTCGGAAATGTTCCTGTTTCAAAACAAGAGTATGTACTTATAATATTACTACTAGACGTGTACTTTTCGTTCTAATATTTAGATTTTCTAATAAATTCAGATTACATCCTTCTTAGTAAATATCGTTTCGTAATTTTCTTAATCACAATGTCACGGTAACGTTGCTGATACGAGCCCACAAATAATATTTCTACTAGGTATATAATAAATTCCTGACTGAGCCCTTGCTCGCCCACCTATCCTATTGAAACTGGAAAGGCTTTCGGGCCACCAGTAATCCAACAAATATAAAAAATAGTAATAATAAACATTTTAACATTAACCAGTACTAAGTATCTCAGCTACTATGCATTCTAAAAATAACAAGAGCCTTCTACTCTTATTATTTTTTCTTAATTCAACATGCGTTTCGACTTTATTTCTTACTTCTCGCTTCGATAACCGCTTACAAAAGAGGCTACAAATCAAATACTTACGATGCAGTAATAAAGAGTCAGCAATGTGCATTTAAGAAAGCTTTAGTAGAGAAATAACTTTTAGTTAAGGCGAGTTTATAGTTCTGACAGTAGACTGAAGGAGGATTGTGATTTGTGAGGCAAGGCAGCAAGCTCAGTCGACCGCCGGCTTTCGACGCGACTGCCGCCTGCTTCACATAGAAACGCATCATCGGTAAGTAGATTATATTCAAAAATTTCTGAGTGACAAACTTGTCCAAAATAATCCTATATCTTAAATATTTTACAATTTCAGACTTTCAGAATAAGTCGTAGATTTCATTGTCAATTTTTTGATAAATTCATTTTCATTCATTGAAACTTTACCGTATTAAACAGTGTTACAGACTATCATTCAACGTAGGTAACAAAGTTATCAAAATTAATTCAATATATTATCTATGATAAATAAAATTATAATTTAACTTAGCTCTAATATCATTCAATAAATATGTACATATATGAACTTGGTCTGGAAATTGTAGCCTGAAAAACTTATGCAATAACGGAAATAATCAAACGGCTTTTTGAAACAAAAAAAAGCTTTTCACTAAAGCTTGAACGATAAGCGTAGGTCGATAATAAAATGTATTTTTTTTTATTGTGCTTAGTTTGTAATGGCTTGGTCTATACTATATATAATATTATAAAGAGGAAAGATTTGTTTGTTTGTTTGTTTCGAATAGGCTCCGAAACTACTGGACCGATTTGAAAAATTCTTTTTCCATTAGAAGCCGACATTGTCCCTTATGAACATAGGCTACTTTTTTTTTTTTTTTTGGTTTCATGTTTGTTTTAATGTTTCCGAAGCGAAGCGAGGGCGGGTCGCTAGTATTGAATATAATTGGAACTACATAGTTCGAAAACTTCAGACATTACAACATAATGAAATTAAAATTGTAATGTGTATTTAACTAAAGATGATTTTGTTTGTGTATTTTATCATTTGTTTTCACTGTTTAAGTCATAATGTTTCAAATGTCTATTTATAAATTCATGGGTGTACGAGGAGAGACAAAGGGTCGATGTGTTAGCGAACTAAATGAGCGAAATATTTACAAAACTGAAGAACAAAACTGGTTTAAAGGGATTTAGGAATGTGACCGCCATGTTTTTCTTTCTGATCTTTCTATTTTTTTTATGTTTAGTTTTATATTTTATATTTACAAGAACTTTACGCACGTGTAATTTTTTTTACCTAATAGGTAAATTAATATTCTGTTTTAAATAGCGTAAACTAGCAAACAAACTTTCAGCCCGCCTGGTAATATATGGTTGTCGAAGCTTATAGAGTACATAAGGTTAATGCTACTGGTAACCCACCTTGAGACATTGCATTGGATTGGAGTAGCTGCTATCGTATTTATTGAACCAGAACACTATACCATCAGAATGTTTTATAGAAATTAGGGGAAGCTAAGTACGTAACTGTACTGAGACTTTAGAACTCATATCTCAAGGTGGGTGGCGGCATTTACGTTGTAGATATCTATGGGCTTCGGTAACTAGTTAACACCATGTGAGATGTGAGCTCGTCCACACACCTATGCAAAAAAAAAACCTAGTATGTACGGGAACAGCTAAACAGATACTGTGTATTATCCTTGATCAAAGCCCACATCTGACCTGATATATGCCTTTCGGCATTCCCATTGTAACACTGGCTTAAATGTTTGCGATACCATTGACATAAAATGAGATCACCCGGTCTTACCAAAAATAATCATAAAATTAACTTGTGAGAAAAATAATTTTTCTGTTTTGTTTCATGAAGATTCGAATATATCCATGTGATATTAAGTGTCTACCAGAGCCCATGGTCATCACAGAGTAAACGAAGTAACAGTTGAAAGTATCAGTAAAGGAATTAAAGGATAATTAAATTAGTTATTCAATCATTGACAATACTGTGGCATCACCATTATAAAAATGCATAAACAATGCGGAGTCGACATAAACACGTATCGGATATCTATTCAGCATAACAATTGTATCGAGTTGATTTCTCAGAAATTTTCATAACGTTTTGTAATATCACAGTAATAATTTGGACGACTTTTGAAAAGAGCGATCTTATTTATTTATTAGATAAATTTATAAAACTATATTCTGGCAAGGTTTTACAAAAAAAGTAAGTCTTAACCCACAGCCCACTGAGTTTCTCGCCGGATCTTCTCAGTGGGTCGCGTTTCCGATCCGGTGGTAGATTCTGCGAAGCACTGCTCTTGTTGCACAAGATTGTGTTAACTTTTACGCTATCGAGAACGTTAAAAAACTCGCACTAAGCACACTGGTGAAAAAGGGCCGCCGAGCCATTCGTAATTCCTCAGTACAATAAAGTGGATTGACCCATAAATTAATTTCGATTAGGTTTTCGTCATTTAAATTCATAATATCCCTCGTAATCCAAGCGTTTAATCATCTTAGCGTTAGAAACAATAACCAATCTAGGTAAGGGAGGTTAGTTGTGGTACCCACACCTCTCTTTCACCCTATGTCCTATATTCCTGACGAATATCCAAAGTTTCATGATGATCGTTTGAGTTTTTAAGGCATGAAAACTCACTTTCGCATGTACCTATACTAAGTCAATTATAAAGTATTGGGTTTTCGATCTAAACTGTTAAAATATGGAGGTATTTATAAAAATCAAAAATATAGACGATTCTTTGTTAGTTTTATGTATATTAGAGTACAGAGTGTAGTTTTATATATAGTACTATTTATTTATAGATTATATGGATAATGTTATGGCTTTGTAATTTTATAGCTTTGAAACAAGTTCCTAGCGCGTACTTCTTGGAACAATCTTAATTATATGTATGTATGTATGTATATACTGTGGGGTCTGATTAAGTGTGAAAAATTATACCACTCGTGAACATAGGTACGTGCTCATTCCCGAAACATACAACAATTACTATTACATGCATGATAGTGCTGAGTCATAGTTAACCTATTTGAATGATTTAAAAAAAGCGAAAGGTTATCGATTCGACTGTTTTTATATGTTGAAGTCACGTCTGAACTTCTTTCTATGTGAACGGATTTTGTGCTGGTAGGTACTTCTTGTGTTATCTCATTTAAATTTAAACAAAATTTTACTGTGCTTTTTTAGTTTTCCTTAACTCGTTGAATAAATCTTATGTAATAACCTCTCTTGCACCTCTCATTGGAACGTCTGGGTCTACAGAGGGACTTCGGTTCTCTCTGTTTTATACCGTAAGGTCTATGGGGAATGCTCTGAGGAATTATTCGAGATGATCCCCTCATCTCCTTTTTATCATCGCATCTCCCGCCATCGGAGCAGAGTTTATCCATATTATCTGGAACCGCTGCGTTCATCGATAGTACGTTTCCAAAGATTTTTTTGCCACGTACCATCCGGCTTTGGAATGAACTCCCCTCCACGGTGTTTTCCGAGCGCTATGACATATCCTTTTTCAAACGAGGATTGCAGAGAGTACTTAATGTTAGGCAGCGGCTTGGCTCTGCCCCTGGCATTGCTGACGTCCATGAGCGACGGTGTCCACTTACCATCAGGTGGGCCGTATGTTCGTCTGCCTACAAAGGCAATAAAAATAATAATAAAACCCAACGTAATACAAATTACCAAACCCAGCTTTATAATATTGTTAAGTAGCATTTAAAAAAATCAAATAAGTAGTTTTATCTTTAAAACTAAAATACACAAAAATAATTGGCGTCGTAAAATTAAAATGGGTCATGATTCTGCGATTCGCTCTTTTGTTTCGATGAGAACGATTCGCGTGGACGGAAACCGCGCTATCGTCATCCGCAGATAACTGCTCGACCCCTTGTTGATTACAAAAAAAAATACAGAGCTTAATGCGACCATTGAATAAAGTTATTTTTAAAATTTTTTTAGTTACACATGAAGCCATTCGTCATGTAACCTTTAGTCATATATCTATCTACGATTAAACATCCTTCACATTGGATGTGTGTAAGTGTATTAAAACTCTTCAATATTCCTATTACATTCGCACATGTATTAGTTTATTTTAATTTGTTCCATCCCAGTATAAAAACTTTAATATCCATGCGAAATCGTCATCGAAAAAAAAAAACATTAGGGATCGATTTTTTTTTCTGGACTAAAGTGAACAAAACCGTGTCTACAAATTAATAATTAATAAAATGTCTCTGTAAGCTGCAGTGCCACTTCATTAATATCAAAATCTTGGATTGCTCGGAATGATAATAGAATAATGTCAAAAACATTGTCACAGTTTCAATCAAATTCTTTAATTCTGGCAACATTTTTAGTTAACCCTACCCAGTCGGTTATCGCTATTTGATAGATAATAAAAGTTCAAAATTACAGTTTTTTTTTGTTGTTTAAATATTCCATAATCTTGAGACGGGGTTAAGAAATAAATTGGGCTACTTCGATAATGAATTCGGGTATCTGTTCGATGGCCTCTTAAAATAATTACGTATGCGTGTATCATTTGCTAGCTTAGGTAGGGTGGTGAGCTCACTTATGTCCATGGATTTGATACCGCATAATGTATCGCTTACACGAGCTCAAAGTTTATGTTGATAGACTAGATAATCTGGCTAAAAGCAGAGCTCAAAGCGAGATTGCCTTCAGCCCTTCCATGTCCTCCGCTTAATTACAAGATAGGACCCTTATGGAAGTAGGGAAATGGGACAATTAACTGTATAAAATATGAGTAGTAACTCAGCCCAAATTGAATACCCGTATATTCTTGAAATAAATATAATACTATTAACTATTAATAGTTATATTTAGAATTTGTTTTAGCACAATTTGTACAACGATGTGTAACATAATCAATTGATAAAAGAATCTCGTGTACACTTCTACGAATTAGGTCAATAGAAATTAATGCAAACACATTCGTTAATTTAACTAATCAAGATCAAAACACATCCAATTTGCTTGATTTTTATAGCACTGTCAACGTATCTTAAAACACACATCCATGTCGAATTCATTAAAATAGTATTCAATACTTCTCGCGTATAAACCTTTTGAAAGTAGTAGACATTATTTTAGTTATTTAGGTTATACCTAAATGTTAGTTTGTTCAAATCTCATCTACATTTCATGTCATTTCATCTTCATCTTCAGAAAATTTACATTCTTTTTTACGTTAATCCGTAGTTTTCTGAAATCATATTTAA